TTTTTTTCTCTCAGTATGGGATACATCCGGATACATCTGGAACATACCTGGAATATATCCGGGACACATCCAGACACACACACACACACATACAAAATTGTTTGTTCACTATGCATTTAAACCCTTTGATCAATCTGGACCAAATTTTGCATAGTTACTCTCTAGGACCCTAAAATATAAGCTATCATGAAAACTGAACACACACTCTATCCCTTCCCCCTGACTTCATTCCCCCGACACTGTGATTGCGTTCCAATATTCACGACCAGTACTGAAAATTTATAGTATACGTGACATGAACGATAGATTTTTGTGCATCACTGACAGTGAATATCGGAATATACTTTTTATAATAATCTAGATAACGTCAGGTAGTTTAAGGTAGTTTAAGATAGTTTAATATATTCGTCATTGTTGATTCTTTCCGCGAACGTTCAGAAATTAAAAGATTTATTGTCTTCATCAAAATTGACTGTGGAAGAACTGCACGAGACTTTGTTACAATTATTGTTAAAGTGTTGGGCACGACAACGATCGGAAGATAGATTTTGCGTGAATCAAACGTTATCTAAATAATAACATCTGATATCGCGCTCTCGAGATGACTGGAGTAACGAGGAAAAGTTGCCCACATGTGAATGGAGTTGCATTCTGATGAATGAGAATGTCATCTCCACCATCGTCGCATGACGGTCTCATCCATCAGTACACTATTTCCATCCGCGTTCGTCGAGAAAAGCGACGACGGCAGCGATTTAGGCAATTTTCCCTTAGTAACGCGCAATTACGCAGCCGGCGCGGGTGGTTTCTCCTTCCGATAGATATTTTATCTATAAATTTCACGGCGCTAAAAGTACAGCGCATTTGAGACTCACTCCCGACTAAAAGTTTATTTCATGTCCTGATCATATTGACTCCAGTTATTTGATTTTTACAAGATAATGTTATCGGATCCTGATAATCAATCATGTAACGTAGCATGGAAATTAGGACCTTATTAATTACATTAATAATTAGGACCTTATTTATTGATGAGTAGGACCCGACAATATCATCTTGTAACTCAAGCAACTATTTAAGACCAACCTGATCATGGGATGCATTTCTAGTCGGGTTTGTATAACACGAGAATCCCATTGTGCATACGTTATCGTGGACTGTGCGTTCCCGCCGTTAAATCTAAAACATGAATACGAAAAGCACAGTGGCTTGTGCGTTGGACCACACCGCTCCGTTCTGTTTCGTTTCCGAGTGGTTTGGCGGTGCGCGATAAATGCACCGTTGCAACTCAAGTCGCCGTACATATCGGCTACGTCAATAACGCAACGGATTGAGTCATAAAATTCCGTGATATCGGGCAATCTTGAAGCGTCGACCGCACGCTCGTGTAAGTCGGTATATCCGCATTTAGACGTCGTGCATCGCTCGATGATGTAGCCTGCTCTTCTTTCGCTCGCTCTCGCTCGTTCTCCTTCTCTCCGACGTAGCGATGAAATAATCCCATAAATTCACATTAGGCGGCTCGATGTGAAAGGCTGAAAAATTGCCCGGCATCCTCGAGAAGTTTTTCACTCGGACTCTCGCCGCGAACGTTCGCGCTCGACGGAAACTTCATATATTGCGGAACCATCGAATTTTCAATCCACCGTTATTCACCTCACGTGCTGCCGTATCGCTCTCATTTTCTACACAGCCGCGTCCTCTTTCGTGATTTCCAATTTTCCTCTTAATACACGCCACGTCGAGGATATCAGAGGACAAATCGGTATATTCAGAAAATAGTAAACATCTACTCGCAACGCGGAACATTTCAAGCTGTCTATATCTATATTCAGACTGTCCCATCAACGCGGCTCACTAATGTTTGCTCATGCAAGAGGCAACACCCATAGTCATATCATACAAAATTAATATCTTCAAATAGATTTTAGATTATGAGACATCAAGCAATTTTCTCTCGAACACAAGAGCTTTGAAAGCGAAAAAGTTGCATAGGGAAATGGGACGCGATAATTATGCGCCCTCATATAAATATGAAATTAAAATGACTTCTTAACGTTACACGGAGCGTGTCTCGATATATACTTCATTGTGAAAGTATGATGAAGAAGAAGTGAAAGAGTTCAAACGCCCTTAGTTTTAGTAGCTCCACCTCATTTCCTTCCTAATTTCCGGTCTTTTACAGATTATGTCTTCGAAGTAAAGCGCCGCGCTCTCTTACTACTTCCCTCCGGTATTTCACTATTAAACGAGTTTTCTCTGCGACGTTAATATCCGAGCACAAATTCCGCACTTAGTGATCCGCGTTGAAAGTATTTCGACAGCGCACCGGTGGCATTGTTGTCGCGGGCGACGAGCGCCGATGCCGCGAGTACTCGAAATAATCAAATTACATCGCCCATTTATTTCCACAAAAATACCATAAATTTCCGGTCGGATCGAATGGTCAGAACGACCATTGCGGAAAGAAGCGGAAAACAACAATAAAAATCACGCGAGAGTAGTAGCGAAACGCGGACAACATAATATCTCTCGTCGAAGAGAAAATTCTTCCGTGTGCGAGAGCGCAAGTGTATGTGCATGTGTGTGTGTGTGCGTGCGCGTGCATCTGTATGTTTTTCCTACGAAGCATCGTAACGCGATTATCATCACTAGTGAAGTTGCAAATCTATTTCCATTGACAACCGCGCGAATGTATAAGATTATACTTCGGTTTCCAATGCGCGAATTTGTAATTGTTCAATTTTTCAAGGAATATTCTTTCTTCGCCGCTGGTGTGGGTCATGAATAAAAAAAAGAATATTATCCGTAATAGTTCTCTTCCTTCGATCCTGAGTAAATTAACTCGTTGAAAACACGTCGGGCACATCGTGCAATTTTTAAAGAAAGCTCCAAGTTTCAGATTCCGTTCAATACGCGATGTCTCGATCCGCCGACGGATTAATCGACTACGTACGATTCTGCAATGCAGTCGGCCACGGGAAAAACCGAGACTCCCTGTGAAAGTTAACGGTTTACTGCGGAACCGAATTCTCCGATAACGAAGTTTTCCATCCGCGTTTTTCGCGTTTTTCTTTTCTTTCTTTTTTTTTATTTTATTTACAACGCCGCTTTCCCCTCGTCGGCGAAGTCTCGGGCTTCCTATTGACGTCGCGCAACTTTCCTTCTCCCTACAATCATATTTGCTTCCGCCGTGGATTCCCGATAAATGGCGCCCCGTCGATAAGCAACGAGTAGTATCGCCGAAGAAGAATAAAAGCGGAAAACGCAAAGATCTCTCGCTATATACGCAAACGTGGAAACTGCAGCGCATCGAAAGAAACGGAAAGGAGATACGATTTGGTAATTTATTTTATTCGCTATCTCTCGTTCGTTCCTCCAATCGAAATTGCTTATATCAATACGACTTAGCGAAACGATACAGCAGTCTGTGGAATATGTCACGGTTATCCGCGGAATATGTTACGTGACGTGAAATTTCCGACTGCACCTCTAAATATCCGGTCGATAATATTCGTTTATATTCGCGAGATTGCGACCGGCTAGATTTCCGCGAAGTATCACGCTTTAGGCGAAATTCTACAAAAGAGAAAGAACGATGGGATTCTTAACGACGTTAAAGCTCAAAACCTTAAATTAATTGAGAGATTTCGCCGGGAGAAAAATAGAGAAGGATCGCCGAGTGATGATGAGCCGGGTTGGGAGATTTTTCATGAATGCAGGACGACGTCCGAATCCTCGTTGACGCCCCATTAAATTTTACTCCTTTTTTTCCTTAAGGCTTCATAACCATCCGCGATCAAATCACGATCAAATCAGCATATAAAAGGGAGGCAGAAATCGCAAAGGTGGATCGTCCCTTTTAAAAATAATCCTCATGAATATAAATTGTTACGTCCTCGAGCGGGATGACGCGATGAGCACGAAGAAAGTGAGGGAAAAAAAGGTAAAAGAAAGGAACTTTCCCGATACAAAAGTTCAAAGTTCTGTCCATTTTCTCACTCGCGCATAATTCTCAGTGCCTCGAAACATTTTTCGCTCGTCCGTTCGATGTTAAAATTGCAGGCCAACTTGCAATTTCAAGCCTCGTCGGGTCTTGCCGGTCTCCTGACACTCAGCGCTAAATTTAAACAACAGTTAAAACTTGGACAAGTTCCTGTGACTTTATTTTACGAGATTGATGGACGTATCCCCCTGTTAAGTATTTCGTTAAATTATGTATGCACTTTGTGAATATTTTTACTATAGCCCCGTGTAACATTTGTGCGAGAATATCGTTTCTATCCAAGTTCAAATTGTGATTCTACATTAACCGTGTAAATTCCGTCGGACTTGAAACGGAGAACCTCGAGGCATAACACGATGTAGACTATTGTCCTTTGATGTTACAAATGATTATTTACTGTCGTTCTCACTATGTTGAAGCTTAAAGAAGGATCACTAGGGTAGCTCCAGGTTCTCTGTAAGCCTTTCTAGGAAATGAATATTTAGAGTTATTTAATATTCGATTATCTCATTATTTTACTTGCATCCAATCATTATTTATTATTTTAACAATCAATATATTATGTAATTTATTTAATTGCAGATAAATTGTATGTACATGATAAACAAATAACCTATATTACATAATTATCTATAATAACCTACATTAAATAATTAATATAGATAAATAACGGAATTAATATATAAATACAATATACTGCAGTGACAAACTTTCTTTTTCTCTTTATTATAATTTTTATTAATGTGGCAAATTGTAATAAGATTTAAAAAAGATTTAAAAAAGATTTAAAAAAAGGGTGGAAAAGAAAGAGTTGTGAGAATATAAATAGTTCTTACAACTCGTACATAACAAGTAATTGTATGTCCAATAATGATATGTACTAATTTCGGACTCGGCACAATATTAAAGTTAAATAAAAGTAAAAAGAAACGTAAAATCAACAGCTGGAAAATTTATGGTAATTTCAATTTTAGTATTTTTAATAGATACTATGCATACTATAGTCCTGATAACTTCGATCGCTTTGTTTTTCAAGTGTTGGCTTTTTTGTCTATGTCACAGTGCTAATGTCAACGTCACGATGGAGTATCGCGAGCAGCCAAAAACAGAATGCTGTAACAAGAAGCCCAGAATAAAGAACGTCGGAATACGAGCAGCGATATTTCTAGATGAGTCAAATCATTTATTATGTAGATTGTTTCTGATTTTAACCTCTTAGCTATGGTTGGCCTTTCCGCGGAGCTGTATCTCTGTACGGCAAAGTTCGACGCGGACTGCGCGTAAACAATGCAGCACTTCAATTTGTGTCTGGTAATGCTTTTTACTACGCAAGTACATTAGAATACAGTTTTAGATGAATAAATTATAATTTATTAGAAATAAGAGTGAGCCACTACAGTGACTTATCGTTCAGAAAGATGACATACGCGAAAGCCACTATAGTGGCATGCTGTTCAAAAAGATGACATATGCGAAAACCACTATAATGGCTATAGTAGCTAAGAGGTTAATAGACGTTTCACGAATTTACTGAGAATAAGCAGATATCCGAGTTGAAATTTAGATATTCGTACGCTATTCGTAATGTGTCACTATTTAACTAATAATCATAGTCATGAATCTTTATCTACTTCATCAATCTATACTTATTTTATATTCAACGTATCGAAACAGTCGAATAATGGCTTATAAATTACGTCTGTAATTAATTATGCTCTTATTTACATCACTACAATATTCTGCTTTGTTTAAAATATAATGTAATGTTGTGCGACGCGCGAGAGTACCAGAATTGTAAGCAAAAAATATAAACTCATTCTCTTCTATTCTCAACAGTCGTTCTCAACTCATCAATAACCGTCGAACGACTACACAATCAAAACATTGGTCTTGAAGACGGTCATGTTTACTTCTATCTTGCGGACTTTTTCAAGTGTTTCCATTCAGCCTCGAGCTGGCAAGCAACACGTACACACGGACTACGCGTGTCGGTGCGTTATCTATTATTCCTCTCAGGTGATTAAACTGTTTTGTCGCATTTTTGAAATACTCAATTTCAGTCTCTCGTCAGCATCGCGTTATTTAACACGTGTAGCTTTGAATGAATCGTGTTACGAGTGTCAGTGCCACGACGGAATAGCCAGGATGCCAGATCAAGAAGCCAGGATGGAGGATGCGAGACAATGAGACAATGAGACATAGATAGCGATACATCATATATTTTCAAGGTATGTTAAATTATGTATTATGCAGGACATTTTTAACGGATTTTTTTTGCAAATTTATCGAGAATAAAAAGATAACGAGTCGAAATCTAGGTCGGTATTCATAGTCCATTGTCATTGACATTCAGCAATTATAGCTTCAAATGTCTTCGATTATTCGTCAATCTGTACTTATATTTATTACATCATATAATTTCATATAAGAAATATTGATCCAAACTGCCGATTAACGGCCGATAATGCGAAACTGTAATTATAATTAATTATGTCCTTAAGCAAAGATTGTAATTGATGTTAGCTATGAATATCGGCCTTTGAATCTCTATTATAATATATCTCACAAGGGCTAATAATGCTTTTTGAGTCGCGATTTCTGTTTCTACCAACAGTTTTTTTTCCTTACTTGTGTTTATCACAAGTATGTTGTTATTGTGCCGAATTATATTTCAGACCTCTATTGGTATATAGTATTATTAGACACTAATCTTTGCTTTTACAACTTCATATCAGCTTTTAAGCTCTTTTAAGAGCTACAAATCTCAACTTTCATAAAAAAAGAAAAAAGAAAAGAGAGAGAGAGAGAGAAAAGAAAAAACAAAAAAAGAGAAATTAGGAAGAGATGAGATTAAGTCTATTTCTTTTATCTATTTTTCCATACATTAATCCTTATTAAATAATTTAACATTTTATAGGGAGGAATGGATTTTAACACATCCTCCATCCATTACTCATATACTCTAATTATCATCATTTTAAATCAATATTTTACATACTCTATTTGTACTTAAATAAATTATTTAATTATTTAATTAATGTATTGTTGATCGAAATTAAAAAAAAATTTCTCGTTTGAATATAACCACTCTTCGCCAATTGCCAATCGCGTATGTATATTTGCCAATTAATATATTAATGTAATGCCTCGCTCATTGTATCTCTGTAACGATACGAAGGTATCGATTATCGAATTATCGAGCGATAATAGATATTTCTAAATTAGGAGGAATATGGGAGAAAAATGTGGAAAGGGCATGAGCTTTGTTAAATAATTAGTTGGTCTGAACCGTTCAATGTGACCAAAGATTCTTACCTCTATCGCATAAACAATATGCATTTTCAGAGATTTTCCAGCCATGTAGTGCAACTATCGCGAATGGTAATTGGCGAGTGGTTTTTATGCATTGAACACATTCGTGTGCGTACTATTTTTTTGACATTTCTCCCGCAGAGGAAAATGCATCGGAGGAGAGTTTGTTCCAATATCTTCTTAAAGTAGGTGCTAATGTAGGGGCTAAAGTAAGGGCTAAGGTAGGGACTAAGGTAGGAACTAAAGTAGGTGCTAAGATAAGTAGCGAGGATGCTGCTTGTAATTCATTTTATTTTGATCTCGTTTCTGATCAGAAAATCGTCGAATAATATACGTAAGAGCCATGCTATATGAACGTTCCGCGTTTTATCGATTATTCCAGAATTCACGATAATAATTCCATCATTCGTATCTGACTCTTCTCGCACATACACGCGTTTCATTTTTCTTTTTCAACCTATGATATCAAAACGCGTTGTCTTCTCGTTCGAATATAGCCACACTTGGCTCATTTCCAATCGCATACATATACATTTGCTAATTAGTGTATTAATGCATAATAACGCTACACTTTTCGATTATCATCAATTCTGATATGATTCCTATATCGAGCAATTATCGTGCGGCAGTTGATTGTGACAGTTTGCTCTTAGGCTGTAAAAGATATATTTTCTGGAACTTCGAAAGTCTCGCATATAAAAAAGCTCGCTCGGCTAAGTGCAAAGTTTAAGCAGTAGCGGAGAATAATTATACGTCCAAGTGAGAAGTAGTGTTTGAAGAGAAGCAGGAGCAAGGCCACAGGCCTTTTTAAATAATTAATTCGATGGCCGAGGATTCTTATCTCACAAACGAATAGTAATGTATATTTATGTACGTTTTTTGAGGTTTCTTGGCCAGGCACAACAAACATGGTGAATAGTAGTGAACGAGAGTCGATTTTGTGCATTCGATGCATTCGCGCATTTAATTTTTTCTCCGCGAAGCGAAGAGACAGCTTTGATTGCGTCGTGCGCGTCTAGACTTCTATTTTTTTAAACGATTGTTTTTTCCTATAACACTGAAGTAAATATCGTATTTCAAATATTCATAGTTAAAACGGCCCGCAGGTTTAGAGTTAAATAAATAAATAAATATATGTTGTAGAATATTATGTAAATGTCAAATTGTCAAGAGTTTTTTCGCAAGCTCTTGATAAAAAAATACCAAGTATACTAAATCATGATTGACTGAAGATTGCGTTTTTACGCCCACTGTTATTTATAATTTTTACTCTATTATTTATTGTTGTTATCCTGATTAGACTGAAAAGAATAATTCTTATTAGTCGTTTATTCGTTGTTAATCTTATTAGACATAATAATTCATTTACTTCGGATATTGGGTTTCATACAATATAAGAGAGCGTAGGTCAAAGAACGCGAGAACGTCGAGTATACTTCGGACTCAAGTTCTCCCCTATGTAATTAAAAGATAGTACCTTTTCGCGTTCAGTCCGATGACGAAGGTATAATCGCGACGATTAAATTTAGCAGTGCCGTTTGAACGAAGGACTTAGGTTGTCGAGGGGGAATAAACGCTCACCTTTGATGTGAGGTTAGTTTGTGTCGAGCGGCACATTATATCCTTATTAATTCACGAGACACGTGTTGTACACAGAGAGGTAACGCGCCGCGAACCCCTCGCAAGGCCGATGAAAAGTCGAGCGTGTTCCGCTCGCATGAAATACTTATTGCACATTCTCAAGCGTCTTTTCATTCGCGACAAAAGATATTCCGTTTTCTCGGGAAACACGTTGATGATGAGACCGAGCTTATGGTAAAAATACCAATGCCTGGATGTATCAAATCCTGGACATACTTTTTAATTTTTGATAAAAATTACTTGGTTAATATTTAAACTTAATAAAAATATATGTACATATACCTACATATATCGAGCATATATTTTATGTTAATGCAAATTTAAATATCCATATTTAAAGATCAAAATGGGAATGTTCAAGATCAGGTACGTGTCAGAGAATTGGTATTTTTGTCCTGACAAAAGATAATATTCTCATGTCTGCAAGCTAGAAATTATTTGTGTAAGACCATACCTACATAAGACTTTTTATTTTGAACGTGCATTTAGCGCTAAATGTCCGCTAAAAATATGGATCACGGTGTCCTGTGAATATCCCTTCTTTATTTATAAATATTGCAAGTCAAACTGGGAGTACGATATTATTGAATCACGAAACGCGCGAACCAAACAGATATGTGGGAGGGTCGACGCGACGTGAGGCAATCACCGAAGCGAATGCACCTCGACGTCTCCGTCGCCATCGATATGAGGGGGTTGCTTCAATCGGCGCGATCGTTTCACACAATGAGAATAGAGGCAGCCAGCCAGTCAGCCAGATACGATGGCCTCGTATGTAAATACGTGTCTGCAGTAGTGTCTCTCCTGGTTCGCGCATGAAGTGGCGACGATCTGTCCCGCGGGAGTCGTTCGAACGGCACCGAGGTCGACGACGAGCGTAGGATCGAGCCAGAGACCAGTTTGGCAAGTTAAGATCCCCGGGTACGGATCACGAGGCCGTCGTCCTCGTCGTTGTCGTCTCCGTCGTCGTTGTCGCTGGGGGATGATCTGCTTGGCGAAAAACCGAGAGATGGCGACGGGACGCCCGCGGAATCGTGGATTAGCCGGGGTCGATCGGAGCGAATCTGAACGGAGCGATCACGGAATCACATCTCTCGCGATACATCACGATGAGTATTTCTCGATGTCCGTCGTCCGTCTGGTCGAAATCATCCAAATCCGACTTTAGAATCTTAACAAGGCGTGACGCCGACGGAAGCATATTGACGTCGTGAGACTGATACGATCGGTCATCCTCTCGTGTCGCGATAGAAAAGACAGTCCCCAATGCATAACAACTCCTCCTACGTCTCGAAGCTGTGAAATGACATTGATTGACTTTCATTCGTATAATTATTTTAATTAGAACAGGCTGCGTCACGCGTCAGGTAGAGTTCTCTGAGAGTGACTCGTCTATGCGTCTCCATTCGCGAGTTTTACTTCTCTCTCCCCCTTCCGCGACTCCACTCTACCGCGAAACTCGTTGAATTCATTAATTCGTTAATTCCGATTTTAATGCCAATGCTAAAAGCTTCCGGCACTTATTTCTCTATTATCACCTCGAACATTGCGCGAATGGCTATTGACTCTCTTTTGTTTGCGTAATTTATTATATCGATCTTGCTTACAATGATACGTTAAACCGCATTGAATATACTCGGCGAATTACAAATCTCTCAAATAAATCGCCGGTCATTAACTTGATCCGTTACATCGCGTAATACAATTTAATTTGTAATTGTATTGAAACTTCATCGTTGCGCGCGCGATCGGCTTTATACCGGGCGACTGAAAATCGCGAACAGCGCTCACACCACTTTCCGCACAAATTGTTACGATCCATCAGGTTGTCGAAATTTATCGCTTGTCGCCGTCCTCATCGTACACGGCTGAACTTTTTCACGAACAATTCTCATCGTACTCGCGCGAAATAATTATGCCATTACGCGGCGCGTATGCGGCCACGAGGCAAAAATCACGGATCCTTCATTTCCCATTCGTTCTTTTCGCAAAAAGCGCCGGCCGATTTAAATTTCGCCATTAGCTACACTGAATATTTAACGCACTTCTCTTGGGACATAGACGTATCCCCGGATGCATAATGGACCCGTGACGCGTTTTTTCGTAATTAGGACTCGAAGAATAATAAATTTATCACACACAAATCTAATTAATGTACGGATGAGGATATGGAGGCGCGTCAACGTGGAAACTCGGGTAACATTGAAAATTTTGTACAGAGAATACAGCATTTCCCATTGTTGCATAGCCAATAATGTCGCGATCAATAAATTATTATCCATTATAACACATAATAAAATATTGCTCTACAAGACATTCCAGAATTGTTGATGGACATTT